CGCCCCGCCTCGCGATGGGGGACCCGGGCCGGTGCGGGGGCCGAGAACCCTCAGGCCTGGGAGCGGGCCGCGACTGGGGACCCTGTCTCTGGCCGTAGAGAGGCCCCCAAAAGGAAGGAGGTTGAGTCTAGATCGTTTATTCGAGCGTTTATCTCCCTGCCACAAACGCATGTGGAAAGATTGCGGAGTTGGGGGTAAAGGGGTGGCTGCCACAGCTGCCTCCGGGTCGCAGGAGTGGAAAGGCCTCGAGGATGCACTCAGTTTAACAGTGACTTTCCTTTTTAATTTTGCCAAAGAAGCTGTGAAGTGACAGATGCAAAGGGAAAGAAAGGTGGCCCGTTTTTTTAGGAGAGTCAAGAGCGAAAGCAGAAGCTTCAACTGCAACCCCTACCCCTCAAGGCTTGGCTAGTGCTCTGTTCCGTTCCCTTCATCCCCGTATCACACTGAGAGACGGCATGTAGATGAAGCTGATTTCTGATATGAATACCGAGTTCTATAGTAAATAGCTAACAAGTCCTTATTCTATTTCCCCTGTTAAGAATATATTTCTAAATTGGAAGAGTTAGAGACCAAAAAGAGTCTGACCTCCTCCTCCTCCACCTCAAAAAAAAATGAACTTTAAAAGGGGGATGGAGGGATTGCTTTATAAAATCCCAGAACAAACAATTCAGGCGGCGACACCCATCATCTTCATTCTACTAAAACGAGTGCTCCAAATGTCAGTCTCCCAGGGGAGAGAGGAGGAAGATGGGGGAGGGCCTGAATGTGCTGGTTTGGGGCCAGCAAACTCCTTATGAATAGAAGTTTAGTAATCTTGAGTCATCGGGCTGCGTAATAAGAGCTTGTGAGCTGTTGACAATGCTGTTTGGTTTAAAGGAAGTTTTGGGGAGTTTGTGTTTTGTTAATAGATTTTTATCTTGAAACAGAAACTAGCCCCCTGCCTTCCTTAAATTGTGAGGTAGAACACTTTGATTTGTCTACTCCGCACTGAGCACATTATAGAGTCTTGATAGATTGCAGCTGATAAGACAGGAAGTCAACCAAAGTGGGGAGCACAAGAGGGTGGGAAATCCATCAGGAAAGTCGATAAGAGTTAAAAGGCAAGGATGTTAGGTCCTGGCGACCAAATCTAGATATCACAGATAGCACCAAGTGTGGCCTCAGAAAAAAGTTTCACTTTTACCACTTCCTCAGGTTAATCAGGGAGAAAGTTATCAGAGCTATGAATGGAAAGACAAAAGCTACCAATCAAAGTACTGATGGGCTCTACCTACTGGTAAACAAAGATGAATAAATAACCATTAATTTAATAAAGTCTGACTGCTATGTGTTTGTGGCTGCCATGTTACCCACTCTGACAATGGCTGTTTCATGTGTGTAATTTCTGTTTTACATTCCCAGTATTTAGTATGGCCGACTTTTTAAAAGATCTATTTCTGCGTGAATAAATTATGGTATAAGTATACAAAGTTATAATAGGCAAATGTTTTTTAATGAGCTAATCGATATATATTGATGTATAAATATGTCTAGGGTAAGTGAAAAAAATATTTACCATTAACTCATTTGTGGAAAAAATATACATATATATGTTTCTATATGCATAAAATTTTTCTGAAAAAAAAACTTTTAAGTGTGCATACCCAGAATAGAATGTTTCCTTTGCACTTTATACCTTTAAGTATAATTTGAATGTTTTACCCAAACACTGCATTACTTTTATAATAATAAAAATCCTAATTTAAAACATAAAGAAAATATTCATTTCATTTTTACCTATCCCACTCCAAAACTTCAGCTCTCCTACCTCTAAAAAAAACTTCACCTAATTACAACAGAATACCTAGCAGGAAAAACAGTTGATAGTAGTAGACCAAATACACCTTGGCAATTCTGAATAACCAACTTTCTATGACATGTTTATCTGCTTCCTTTGTTGGTTACATATTAAAATGGATAATTTTGCAAGAAACTGTAATAGAAAAAAATTTTTTAACGATATTTTTAAGATATGTACACTTATGTTATAGGATTCAACTCTCATTCAGTTGTTTCACATTTGCCTTCATCTTCAATTTAAGTTTCCTGAGAGCAGGAACCGATACAAAAGATGTTATGTATATTTCAATAGTGGATGAAAATTAAATGTTTGTCAAATGAATATAGAATGTATTGCTGCCACTGAGAAGTGATGCATTATCCTCAGAAACGAAGATGACTATCCAGCATCTGTGTGGCGTATGTATTTTCAGTGGGAGGATGGATCAGTGCCAGTTCTCCATCTGAACTTCTGGTTCATGAGGTTATAGTTTGGGGCTGGTCTGAATTGAAGGCGCAGTGTCTGAATACAAATAGACAAGCTTACCTAGGATCTGAACCCAGCATTTAATCAAATTCATCAGTTAAAGTATGCATGTGTATTAATTAGGCCTGGAGTAGTAGCAAAAGTGGCTGTAGACCCAGGACTCATGAGTTCTAGTACCAACTCTATCATTAAGTATTGTGTGGTCTAAGACAAGTAAGTGATTTATTCTTATCTATAAAATGAAAGGCTTGAACTAGATGACCTCTAGGGTCAGTTATAGTTGCAAAATTCTGATTTCAAGTCGAATGGTGAAATTTCTCCTCTCCTAGCGTCTAAACGGAAGTCAGATACATTAATGAAGAGTAATTAATGCACAAATAGGAGACAAAGATCCATTGACAAAAATTCTGTGAAATTTAATTTAAGATACATTAGTTCTAGTCATGTTATACATAAATTATGTTTTTATTATAAATGGATCTTGTCTATATAAGAAAAATAACAGGCTGATATTCTGGCAGTATATTTTAAGGGAATGAATATTAATCCGAATAATATGAACTATAGAGGATTTGATTAGAATATAAAGTACCAGCAAATGCAGAAACAGATTTACTGACCTGAAGCAATATGAAAAGATATTATCAGAGAAGAGAAATCCATGAAACAAGCATGATAGAGATGCAGAGAATAGATTTGGAAAGTGAAGTTAAAGAGAGAAAACATGTGTTTGTCAATGTAAAATTTAGAATTTAACCAAAGCATAGATAGATAAAGATTAACACATATATAGTCAGGGTATCAAAATTTACATAATTAAATATTCCCTTAGAACTCTAAATAGTCACCCTAGTTAATTATTTTTACGATCAAATATCATCCTCCTTTTTTGAACACATCCAGGAACTGAAGAGGCACAAGGTTAAGTGACCTAGACCAAATTCCCAGTGAGTCATCAGTGAAACTGTTACATGGAATGCAAAACTTCTGTGACCAACTTTTAGGTTTCAACTGTTGGATAATGTCCAGTCTTAAGCAAGCATTCCTTCTTCTTCTTTTTTTTTTTTTTTTTTTTTACGAAAAGCAAATTAAAATCAAAAAGGGGAGGGAAATGAAAGGTTGCAGAAACCATTGTAAATCATTGTATTCACACTCAGGTAAATGCAGGCTCCCCCTCATCTCTTCCCCTTCCTCTTTTATCAGACATCCCTTGCCTGCTTATTCCAAATTCAAATCCTTTTTGCATTTACAGAAATCACTCCCTGCTGACACAAACCTCCAGGAATAAGACCTATATTTTGTTTTATAGGTAATTCATTATATATTTCCAGAGACCTAGGGACCCAAGTAAATTGATGTTCTCTCAAATGACTGCAGGAAGAACAAAGAAGTTGCAAAAATATACAAATGATGTCAAGCATAAATTAGCTCAGAATAGTTTTAAAGAAAATAAACTACTGGAGTCAAAGTGTACATTAAAATGCTTATAAAGTCCCCTCTCCTATTAAACCATGCATAAATATTACAATGGCAATTTATTCCTAGTTTTCATTGTTATATAATTTATACAATAGAAGTTTATATAAGAAAATATCTACCACCATTTCTAACTAACAGAAACTATTACACAAACAAATGGGCCTAGAAATATCACAAGACTGTCCCCAAGATCATCACACAGTTTCCACTTTTAGATTGAGACACACTCAGGTTATCAAAAATCTTTTCATTTATAAAACATTTTCGTAGCATATGTGACTTTTTTTTCTTTTGGTATACTTTAGGTATAATTTTGGTTGCTCTTATTATATCAATAGAAACTATTCTGAAGCAGAGTGAATTTAAAGAACTGGCCAAACTCAAATAGGTTAGTGAATGAGTAAAAACTCCTTAATTCTAGCCCTGTATTTTGCTTTTCTCTACCTTATGGGAAGAAATTAAAAGTGCTGTATTGAAAATGCACTACTGACTTTGAAAAGAGGTTCCTTTCTACTCAAATTGGTGTTTGTAAATGAACTAAACATTCTAAAACTATCACATGTTGAGTCATTGTAGCGTACGTCAGTAATGGATTAATAAAATGCAATGGAAAAATAAATAAAATGCAATGGTCATAACCAATACTTAATCCAATATTTCTCATCTATGAGGATGAGTTTATATCAAAATTATTCAGTGTT